CCCTTCTCCATGGATCAACACCATGGTTCCTTTACCGCCACCTGCTGGAAGTGATAGTAACCCTTTGTCATTTCGAAAAACCAAGCCCCTTCGCTTACAGGGCAGTTACAAGCAACCACTTAAAATACTGTGATCACTTACAGTAGATTAGAATTTTTTATTGGTACTGTGTTGCCATAACAACATAAAGACAGCAGATGACTTAAGCTAAGCTTGCAAAGCAAAAGGCTGCTCATCTGGCAGTTAAAATGAATACAGTTCACTTCACAAGTTTCCCATATGGACCCTTAGTGTATGGTAATGAGGAGACCATATGGTGAGAGAAAAAATGCATAGAGAACAATTGTGTTCTACTGGCTGAGTGAACTGAGTAGAAGTCATGAGAAAGACTGAATGAGATATTCTGGCATGCTCTTTAGCTCAAGGTTTGAGGTTTGTTTGAGGGTGGGATTTTTGTTTTAGTTTTTTTTCTTTGTTTTGTTTTAATTTTTCCACCGGGTTCTTCTTTTTTCTTAACCCACTGCCTTAATATGTCGAGCAAAGAAATGACAAACATGTTGCAAATTTTGCACCGTTGCTCATCATAAACTGTCATCGGTGTTTGCAAATCAGACTTGCAAGATCTTTTTAAATGTGTTATTCTTAAAAGGCAACAGTACTAAGTTTTTAGACAAAGTGCAGGAAAATTTAAGCACTTCTGACAAGCAGAAACATTAACAGTAATCATTTTTTTTAAAAACACTCGCATCTTTTGCCTTTGTGTTTAGCTGTAAATAACGCTAAAATGTATAAAAGCTTTAAAGTAAAAAAAATGCAATAAATACTTTTTATTATGTTCCCTAAAGGATAAAAAATGCGCTGAGCTACCTATGTGCTTTATCTATATATACACATATAGAGATAGGTAGCTACTATTTCTACTTACTACTAACTAAACCTCAAACCTGGTAGGACGGCTTGCTAAAGGCTGTAAAGTCAATTTTGTACTACACATGCTTCATAAAAGATGAATATAAATGCATTAGTTAGATACGGTGAGCTAAATTAGAAGGTCAGGCAGGGCTGGAAGGGCTGAAAAATCACACAACCAATGACTGTAATTACTCTTTTTTTAAGTCTATTAAGTGGTGTTGTTCTATCAAGGCTCTGGGGTATAGGACATGAGGTACAAGATAAAGTAATGTGTATTTATTACTCCCACAGGATCAATTTACTAGATATTTTCAGCCCCATAAAGCAAAATACACAAATAGAGCCTTTGTTACTTTTCCTCAAACTGCTTTATTTTCTTTAAAAGAGTGACTGCTCCTCGAAAGAAATATGTTTACCGTGTTGAATTCTTCTCCATACAATCTCCTCTGCCCCTATCTCAACCCCTCCCTGTGGTGAAATAGGAGAGAGATAATGAGACTATGTTAAGTAGGGTGAGGCCTAGAGGGAATGGGTCAGAGAGGAGAGGAGCTGATGATACTCTACCGTCCTCATCCTTGCAGAAGAGAGCTGAAGGAACTGCCTGGTAATCAGTCAAGGAGAGAGAAACGAGGTTAAAAAAAAAAAGAAAAGAAAAGAAAAAAACTTACTCCCCTCCCCACGTCAACACTCACAGATTTCACTTCAGTTGGGGATCTTTAAGCTCCGAACCTCTGCACAAACGCTGAGAGACTCACTTACAAAGATAACTCACTGAAAGGGCATAGGGATACTGCCAGGCTTCATAAGGAAAAAAAAAAAAGAGGACTGCTCCTTGCCAAATTGCAAGGGATCACCACATGTCCTTCAGCTGTTGACACTGCACAGTTTCTGAGAACCCTCCCTCCAGACCTCTACCATCACCACAATGTGTGAAGTATATCCAACTTTCCCCTTGAAGTTGGTCACATACCCCTCTCCCTCATGCTAGGTAGGAATTTGGTGACTGGAGGGAGCCTGCTTATAAAAAACTATAATGACTGGTATGATTTCTAAGCTCTGTTGTAACTCTGTGTGTGTGTGTGTGTGTGTGTGTGTGTGTGTGTGTGTGTGTGTGTGTGTGTATAAAATCATACACTCTATCCAGGCCTGGCATAATTATATTATCTTTGTATGTGTATAACAGATGTTTATTAGGATGGCTTTTAAGGAGCCAAACCTTTTACATGAGAAAGTAATTATAGTTTTCTCATCTATAAAATGGGGATAATGATATCTACTCTTCTTTGAAATAATTTGATAAATCGTTTGAACAAATATAAAATACTGCATAAAGATGTTACAATGGTGAACACAGGATCACAACTTGGAGCTGGAAAGGACCTTAGAAGCCTTAAAGGCCACTGAATATAGCCTCCTTATTTTCTGATGAAGAAACCGAGACATAGAGAGATTTGCCCAGGGTTATCAAACTAGAAGTGTCTGAGGTGGACAATGAATCTCATTGGAATCTTCCTATTTCCAAATCTAATGCTCTATTTACTATTCTACGAGGTCTTTATTGATGATGGAGAATTGATTTGCTGACCTCTAATTTTAGCTTTTCTGTTAATAAAATAGGAATGAATCTGCCATCATTGATCCCTAAATAAGTTTACCACAAATTTTAGTTTTTCAAATCTATATCTATCTACTAAAACACACTTGCTTTCCTATTAATTTGGAACTTGCTTTCCACAGTTACCATGAATGTACCATGAATGTGGCTGTTTTGGAAGGCTGAGGTTGAGTTCATTTTTAACATTATAGAAAAAAATGGTAGGGTAAAGGTATAAACTTCTTGAATCTCCCCAGATTCTTAATGATTTCTCCAATCCCTGCTTGCTTATTCTTCTCTGTTTTACTAAGTGATCAACAATCTTTTTTTTTTTTTGGCAGGGAGAGGATAGCCTCTTGTTAAAAAGCCTATTTAAAAGGCTTAACATAAGCTGCAGTGTGCCCTCAATTTTTGTGCTCAAAACTTTGAGCCCAGAGCTGACTTCTAGGGCCTCTAATGCAAAAAAACACAAATTCTGCATTCTATTACAGAAAACTGAGAGCCACATCATAATGACATTTTTAATTATTAAAAAAAAAAACCCACACCATCCGAAGCCCATAATCCTTTTTCTGCCTTTATTTTCATTTAGGAATAAGGAAAGTCATTCCCCTGGCCTAGGTGCTTCTCAATGATTTCACATACCTTCACCAGTAAACTCAATTATTTTCCATTTAGCTGGGAAGAAGAGGAGGCAATTTAAAGTAAGTAAAAGATCCAATCCTTGATTTTGAAGTTTTAGAGTATATTCATATGATTCCATGACAGCTGTAATTTACATAAACTAGTGACACCATCCAATCCCAGCCTATAGAAGCTTAATCATCTCTGAGTGCAGCCACACCATTTTAATTAAATCTGATGGGCTAATAAAAGTCCTAGAGTGGACATTAGGCCCTACCTAGAAAAAAAATCGTAACTATCAGGGAAGAGCCTCTCCTGAAATGTAAATATATGGGAGTTTGGATTAGAAGGCCTATGCAAACCCTTACAGCTCTGGGTCTTGATCTTAAGATACAGTTTTCATTTGATTAGCTGTCCACCATTGGGGCAAATACAAAAGCATTTGGAGCACCATAATTTAAGATACATTATTTTAATTTTCCCCAAAAGATATCCACAGGAACACATTACGGCCAGACAGAGCTAAAGATAAATGTCCCCACTACGTGTCTGAGCAATGGAAAAAGACTGTCATTCACTACTATAAATTAGATTACTTAATTGTTCACTGAGAATGTCAGAGAGAGGTAAGGGTAGGAGAAGGAATCCTAAAACAGAAGACCTTTTTAAAAGAAAAGCTGCGACTAAATTGACAGATCAAAATTAGGACTTTCTCAGGCTAAAGGCTTCCAAGGACTTCCATCAACATGAAGAGAATTGGATCTCTGAGAGAATAGGTAGAATGCCCGTCCTGGGGGAAGACGAAGGGGTTCAGATCTCTGCCACCCATCAAACACGGTCTGCCTTCTAGAAGGACAACATCCTTCAGAGCCAGAAGAGGTATCTGACCTCTATAGCTCTTTTCACCAAGGATGTCCAGCACTGGAGGAAGACAATGAGTCTTAAGAAGAGTATGATAATAGAACATCAGAATGGAATAGATACATTCAAAAGATTTCTAAACTAAGAAACTTAGCTGTAGCTGAATGCTTCCAGTTTCATTTTTTCCCATTTCTGAAATGGGCTGACATAGCTAAGATATAACTTATCCAGCAAATGCAAAGAAAACTTCTTAATCTGACTTAAACAAAATGCAGTTCCTATCTAATTTCTGCCTGGGCTGTTAATGGGAACCACAGGTTTGGTATACGTTCAAAAATTTGGAACTAGAATGATGCTTGAGAGTCATTTCGTCTAACTCTCTCAAATAGGTAAACTGAGGTACAGAGAAAGAATCTGAACTGGTCTTTTTATCTCTTTCCATTAGGTTCTATCACTGATAACTTACATGCTATATTAGACAGACCAAAAGCAATTAGTTTCTGTACAGTTCATTTGACAAAGTCCTGCCTCGGGTCATATTTTTCTATTGTGCTTTTTTTCATGTTTGTCTTGTCTGTACAACTGGATTTTAAAGTTCTTAAGGAAAAGTACCATGTCCCCTTTGCATGAGGCAGCGTGTGGGTTAGACGCTGTTTAGTTGATGCTTAATAACCAGCTGTGGATTGGAGGGCGTGATAGTATGAGAAAGCAGTGAAAAGATGTCAGGCCTGACATTTTATAGTCATTTCTGCTCTCTTGCTCTTTCTCATGAAAAGGTTTTCTCCTATATAAAGTGACTAGATTGTGAGCTCTTGGTAAGAGGCCAAAACATTGTATTTTTGGGGGGGTATACCACAATAAAGTGGTACATAGTGCTTGGCACAGAATAAAGGCATGTTAAATACTTCTTACTTGACTATCCTGAACAAATTGACATCAATGGTGAATTTCACCTTGAACCATCCGCATTCTGACATATCATAAGTGAAACACTAGAAGGTGTCCTAACCTTTGGCAAGCGCTCAGGGTCACCGGGGTGCCGGGGAATGACCTTCTGTAACCTCTGGAAACCATAATCAATGGTGGGTTCATTGAGAGCTGCAAGAGAGAAATCACAATTAGAGGATGTGCAGGAAAACAAAGCAGTTGGTTTTCTGACCCGACAATGAGGGGACAAGAATGGCAGCTAAAAATCCTGGCTGGCTCTTCTGATCTTAGATGAGCCCCCAGCATCAAGGCTGAGTTCAAAGACAGTTTGAGGTGAGATGTGAGGATTTGGCTTCATCAGATACTAAACCCCACCTGCTCCAGTGTATACTATGGCGTTTCTGCAAGTGCAGGGACTTTGTAAATAATGCTAGAATTAGACAACTGTTTATCTGCAAAATCCCAGGCATGAATTATTTGATAAAATGCTTAGCACCCCTTCCCTCCAACATTTTCGTGTTCTAGCAAAAGTCCTTTTTGATTAGAAGCTATATGCCAAACGCAAAAGAATCATTCATGTTGCTAGGTATTGTTAAAGTATTGGAAATAAAACCCTGCTATGCACAGTAAAGACAGATTTTTTTAGTGAACCACAAGCTTGCTATGGTTTTGTCATTTAGGGAAAAAAAATCCAACCTCTGCTAAAAGCCACAGTTTATATTCTCTAAATCTTCTATTTATTATATAAAATGTTTAATAGTTTCTTTGAGTGGAGGCTGATTCTCAAGAAACTGAGAGAAGTCAGACGATATTAGCTTGCTGAATGGAACAATAGGCTTTGTTCTAACCATATCGACTGCTAGACACTCGGTCTTGGTGCCTCTCCAAAGAGCACCTCATCTTAGTGCCCCCACCCTATAATTAGTCTGAACATCAAGCTGATCTGGCCCACTTGGATTCTCCCATTATTCATGTGGACAGAGAATAGAATTCTCCTTGAAACACTAAGCCCCTTGGCTGGGAGGGAGTGGGAGCTCCATCGCCTGCTCATACCCCATAAAGTAAAAATGATTTCTTTTTTTCCTCTCACAAAACTTTTAAAATTATAACCAAAGCAATCAGTATGGTGTTTTTTTTTTCATGCTGAATATAGAGGCACTATTTGTGTTCTTGACATCCATCTATACATTAAAAACAAGTTACTATATGCTATATTTAAAATGCATTTCCATTAATCTAAATTTTAAAAGTACTATTGAAAGTACTACCAACTTTAAAAACTGTATTAAATTCAAATAGGTCCCAAGGCTAATGGAGGCAATTTGTATACCAACCCAAACTGACTGGCCCACTTTTCAAAATACAGGTATGATAATCTTGTGGTTTTAAAAGGACATTTAAATTGAAAGACTGTGAATTTAGTACATAATTATACCAATAGAACCCTTTAACTTGTCAACTTGTAAATCTAAAAGGCTATCAATCATTTCTAAAGAGGAAATAAACCTTAAAATTCCTTGATTGACAGTGCTTACTTTTTATGTAAAAAAAAAAGGAAAAAAAAGGCAGCATAAAGTGGTCAGAAATCCATTTACAAAAGTACATTGTTTTACATAGGTGAGTAAAAAGCCAATAATTACACCTCCAAAAGACACATAAATCAGAGTAAGTACTTTTTCTTCACTTATTTATTTTAAGTTGGAGTGAACTTCAGATAACTTTTTATTAAAAAAAACTTTTTTCAAATGCGATGCTTATTGAAATTGTTAATAGAGTAGCATTTTCATTTAAGATAATATAATCATTTTTTGCAAATATGAGATTTAACCATTTTCCCACCTTCCAAACAGTAAACTTTCAACCTGTCTCTTGTGGAAATTAACTAAAATTACACCCAGGTGTACCAAATCTGTCTATCTATAAGAGTGTATGAGTTAAGGCACAATATTTATTATTCCTCCCATTTTATGAATTACTTTCTAAACCCTTGAGGAGGATTTTTTTTTTCAAATTAGACTTGCAGAGAAAAAGCCATGGAGCTCTTTATGCAGCAAAGCTGTTACTCGTAAAATTGTGGGCATTTAATCAAGGAATACACAGGCTTGATGGAAATGAGCACCCAGGTGTAAGTTATTTTCCTGTTTCCACCACCATAAGCTAATTGCCAACAAAATACATCTTCCATTTTTAGCAAAACATTTGAACTGTATGTATAATAGTTTTAGTAATTAAACAGATCATTTTAATAACCACATAATCTAAAGATTCTAAAAATTCAGATTCTTGTTTTAAAAAAGACACCAATAAGGTCTGGATGGTTGAGGTTTTCTTTTTTTTTTTTTTTTAATTTCCCATAATGAGTTCCTACTGTGTCAACAAACCTTTGGTTGTTAATTGGATGATTGTCTGATATATCTTAGAGAGGAATTTGTTTCTCTGGCCAGACTGCCAACTTACAGCAGAATGATCGACACTTAATATCAGCAATTAAAAGAACCTGTTCAAATATCATATGGAACTCATAGCTTTGGGAAGCCTAAAGAACATTTTCCCCTGGAAAACTCATTCAGCTGCTGCAAAGAGTAATTGAATTAGATGCATTTTAACATCATTATTCAAAGAAAAATAAACATACTATAAAGAAGCATACTATAAGATAGAAAGGGAATATTTCAGACTGTAAGACAAAGCCTTTTAATTTATTTCCCATACCTTTGTGTTTGCTCTATGCTTATATTTTCTGCCATGTTAACCCACAAATTGCCTGCCACCCTTATGCAAATCTCCCCCAATTTTTGCACATAAAATTACAAAAAATTCTTAGTATTCCAGGGCTGCAAAGCAGAGTAAGAGATCAAATTCCAATGCAACAAATTCAAAGGAGTTGACTAGATTTTCTGATTGTATTGACTTTTGCTTAAAATGAGTGAATGAAGACTTAGGATTCTTTTGTTATTAAGAATGGTATTGTTGTAAAGATATTTGACCCATATGTATCAGACACAGGAAATCAGACCATAAAAGAAATGGCCCACTCTATTCTGAACTATAGTCATAGCTTCTTAGAGTTCACTGAATCCAACCATTACCTAACACATCCCCACTAAATGGCCATCCAACCTTTGCTTGAAGACCTCTGATTGACAGAATTATTACCTCCCTAGGTCCATTCTATTTTTGAACAGCGCTTGTGGCTAAGAAGGTCATTTTTATACTGCCCCAAAGATCTGTCATCTTATAAATTCTACCCATCGGTCCTAGCACTGCCTTCTGGAGCCATGGTAAAATTAAGTTATTCCCTTCTTCACATAAGCAACAGGTTATACAAAAATAATAGTAACGTAGCTTTTTGGTCATAATATAATCAACAAATTATTAAAAAAATGTAACTATTCATAATGTCTCTGGAAATTACTGAAATTCAATAAGAAGTAAAGGAATTCTAGGGAATATCACAGAATTTTGTGGTAGACAGAGAACACAGGGGCCAAAGGCAGGGGTTCTTAACCTGAGAGTCCATGAACTTAGTGTTTTTTTTAATACTTCAATAACTGTATTTCAATATAATTCTTTTCTTTTGTGGTCTTGTGTATTTATCTTATATAGAAACACTATTCTGAGAAGGAGCACATAGGCTTCACTAGACTATCAAAATGGTGCAGAGCACAAAAAAGGTTGACATCCCCTACTCTAAAGAGCCTAGATAGGCCCAATATTCAGGAATATTGAAAGCCATCAGGACAATAGAAAGACAGTGTGCTTCCCAGTGTAATTTCACTGGATTACAGACAATTATGGGAACACAGACAAGAAAGAGACAAAGGACCAAAGTGCTAACAGTTGTCCATAAATTTTCACAGTAAAGAAGAAAGGTGAGTGTCAGGCAATAAGGTCCTCCTCGTAAATTTGACCTTAGCATGCAATTAAAGATATTTTCCTAGACCGTTCCAGTAGCCTAAGTATCCAATCCTGATCTGAGTTAGAAAGCCTCCTGGAAAGCCATGATTAACAACATGAGAGGTTAGGGGCCATCACTGAGAAAGGGGTGGATTAATGTAAGAAAGTTAGTAAATATGCAATAGAAATGATGCCTTACTGGTGTGTCTTTACTGCTGAAATTTAAGAATATTTCCCTTATCTCTGGTCAGGGATCTAGTAATGCATAGAGTGTCTGCTGGTTATATCTTATCTCCATTTTGATATCATTTTAGGATGTGTCTAAATAATTGCTCAATTTAATGAAAGCAGAAGTCAATAGGAGGGGAGATTAGTTGACACCATTTTGATACTTGAGAAGGTATTCTTTTTAAACTGTTTGAACTTGGTTTTACTAGATGCCCTGAAAGCATTCAACTTTAGACTAAATCTTTTTACCGTGTCTTTCTCCTTATAGGACATTCACTGAAGGTCAGAGAAGTTTTTAATTCAGAAGAGACGTTGCCAAATATATTTCTTGCACAATGCTCACATAGCAATGCTACATACAGAGAAATATTCTGAGAATAAACAGTTGGTTTTTTATGTAATAATGCTAATCATAAGATTACAAAACTCAATTCAGACATAGCAAGTAATGAGCAAACACTAAGCAAACACATATGTGAATTGTGGCCTTTCTATACTTGGTTTATTAAAAAAAAATCCACTTCACACATGCATCAAATAAAGAAAATTCTTTTCAAGAAGATTTCTTTGCAAATTAAAATCATTAAGCCAAGACACATGCATTCTTGCTTGCTTTATTCTCTTTACAAAGTTTCCTTTTTTCTATTTCTCATTCCCCACCTCCTTTGCTCATTGAGTACTTATTCCCAGAAGCAATGGAAATTGAAAGAGGGTGGGGGCTTGAACGCCAGGGATGGTGTTCTCGGTGCCATAACATATTTCTGAGGTTTTAATTTCCTTTTTTTAATACTTGTGTGACATGATGTCATTTTGACTGGAAATAAAAAGAAATGCAGATATTAAGGAAGGTAATATTTATATTCTATTGCCATTTAATGTCCAAACAAATATCCAGACTCCAAGCCAAGTAATAAATAAAGCCTCATAGCGCAGAGTCAATGATGAAACCAGCACCTGGGTCTCTGTGCTTCCCCAGTGACTGCTCTCCATTGGAACTAAAGGAACAACTGCACAGCATTCTGCTCCCAGGCAGAGCCATTCTGGTC